AAAAAAAAAAATCAACATTAATTTTCGTAGTTACCCTTCAGCTTGTAATTAGGTGCCATTCTTTGTATTTTACGGCGCAGTTCTTCAGTCGGGGGAAGGTCTCCATTGAGGAGAAAAGCATGAATTTGCTTGTATACATCCATTGTTTAAATGTCCCGGGCAGTCGAAAAGGAGGAAGAGCTGTTGACAAATGCTAGGAGCTAACTGAGCGCTAACCGTATCATTCAAATATATTGAATGTCGCAATGTTGGCAAAGAGAGGAAGTGACGTAAGATTCGCGCATGCGGGGTACCGATCGGGTTTCCGGTACGGATCGGGTAGTGACAGTGTGTTCGGAGAACCGGATTAGCGAGCTCACGGTTAGCGCGATGATTTGATCTTGGATGTAGTAAGCGACGTACGAAGAACGGGCCCCAGGGCTTGATTGGGGCTGACGCTTGACAGGGATTGTTTTTGGCAGCATGTAAACAATTTACCACCAACACGGAAAAGAAAAATGTTAAGGAATAAAGTGAAGTGTAAGAATATATATTTATTACTGATGCTCCTCAGGGAAAGCACCAAAACTTTAGTCTTTTGAAAAACTTTAGTCCGTCCTACTGTCTGTACACCGAGGTCTGGGGGATCTTTTACGAATAGTGACGCTATTTTCAGAAAACCGATTAGTCAGCAGGCGTTGTTTCATACCTGCTGATCCTTAGTCATAACTTGAACCCTGTGGAATGCATTGCATTGTAACTTATGCTCTCAAATGGAATATAAAGATTATGCATGAAATCACCACCTACTGACCAATACATCATCCAGACACTAGGGTCACTGTTCATAGAAAGTCCCTCAGACCTCTGTGTGTGGACAGTAGGAGGATCTAATGTTTTTGTGTTCGTTTTTCCTTGATGTCATTAATAAATGTAGATCTTTAGATACAACCTTATTACTTTACGTTTTCCTGTTGGAAGCAAATGTTTTACAACATTTTCTTTGTTCTCCAGCAATAATACACGATTGTGAAACAGGACAAAATCTTGTACTTGCTGACCTTAATTATAATCATCAGATTCTCCTGTGCCTCAAACACAGAACTGTGATATTGAATCTATAAACTTACACAGCTTTCCTGGCTTCAAATAGGCCAGACGTTATTCATATAATGTGCATTTTCCAGTCATGCTGTCCAAAGTCCTTTGAGGGCACAAACATTCATACAGCACTTTTAATACTAAACTACTGTAAAGTACTTTTTCCTCTCACACTTACACTTCACAACAGCACCAGCCCTTTTACGTGAGCGAGAAGGGTGAACCCTGGATTAACTTAATTTGTTTCATAAGCGCTTCATGTGACCACTTATCCAGATTGCCAGTGTTGGGGTAAGTGAATCCAGATAACTGAAAGATATCCTTGATATGCTAAACTTGCTTTAACATTTAAAGCGAGCCCAGGATAAGATTTAATCCTGCCTCGTACCTCAGGCCTCTGCTTATATAAAAACTTTTTACATGGCATATCATTTGTAACAGTCACACTGATGCTGGTGTTCTCGTCCATGTGCAGTCGGTGCAGTGGCCTTGGCTCCTGTTGCTCTGGGGGCCGTAGGTTTCACCTCAGCTGGAATAGCTGCAGGCTCCTACGCTGCAAGCATGATGTCTGCTGCTGCGGTGGCTAATGGAGGCGGAGTGCTAGCTGGAGGCATGGTGGCTGTTTTACAGTCAGCAGGTAGGCTTGTTGTCTGACTTTACTGTGGTTTCATCAATAGTGCTGTACACATTCACTTTATTAGGAACCTACAGTGGCCCTGAGAGGCCAAACGGACCTCAACTTAAGAAAACAGCAGCAATAAGAAAAACGCTGCAAAAGCACACAAAACACAACGGAAATAGGAAAAAACAGATTTCCGAAAGCACAAGGGAAGTGTTTCTGTGGAGACAATAACCCGACGGACGAGTTGCAGGAACCAAAAATATACTAAGCATTGGGCTGGGAGACACTTAAAAGAAGTGGAGCATCTCTCAGTTTTGTGAGGAAAGAAAAGATTAGAGGTAAGTGTGTTAGCCTAACTATTAGCCTAAAAATCCGTCATCAGTATTAGTTTTGTGTGCTTTTGTAGCGTTTTTCTTATTGCTGGTGTTTTCTTAAGTTGCAGTCCGTTTGGCCTCTCAGGGCCACCGTAGGAACCAAAGCAAAGGTGACCCTTGCTCCTGTTGGTGGTGACCAGTATATGTATACTCAGGGACTGAATAATTCAATACAAATGACTGATAACACATTTACAAATGTACACACTGATTCAACTTAAAGTCTATTTACAGACTTAAACGGGGACGGCCTTAGTGTCCTGCGTTGTGTTACAGGACACCTGTGTTGTGTTACAGGACACAGCCTTAGTGTCCTGCGTTGTGTTACAGGACACCTGTGTTGTGTTACAGGACACAGCCTTAGTGTCCTCAATTCAATTCAATTCAATTCAATTCAATTTTATTTATATAGCGCCAAATCGTTACGTTAGCGTCCTGTGTTGTGTTACAGGACTAAGCTTGTGGTGTGTGGTGATCGTGCCTCAAGAGTTGGCAGTTTGTCTTGTAATCAGAAGGTTGCCAGTTCGAGCCCCGGCTCCAACAGTCTTGGTCGTTGTGTCCTTGGGCAAGACACTTCACCAATTGCCTACTGGTGGTCAGGGGGCCCGGTTGCGAAAGTGTCTATGTGTGGCTACAATGTAGCTGCCATCACCAGTGTGTGAATTGGTGGATGACTGAATGTAGTGTAAAGCGCTTTGGGGTCCATAGGGACTAACTAAAGCACTATACAAATGCAGGCCATTTAACAGACCCTTAAAAGGACTTTAGTGCCTACAACATGAGTGAGCAGCTGACAGAAAAGAAGTGTGGTATTGGTGTATAAGCCATAGGGCATTTTTTAATTTATGAAATCTGACACCACTAGGGGGCAGTGATGCTACTATTAGGTGGCAGTCAGTTGTTTTGATTCCTGATAAAGTTAGAAGCAAACTCAGCTGCTTGACTTGATGCAACATATTGAAGCTGTGAATATTTTCCCTCCTCCCTCTTAAAGGTGCAGCTGGGCTGTCGGGGGCTGCCACTGCAGCTGTGGGCGGTGTTGGAGCTGCTGCAGGAGCAGGACTGAAATTACTGGCAGGTGTCATACGGAAATAAAAAATGTAAATAATCTCACATGGCAAATTCTAATGATATTTTGTTGCCACTGCTCTTCCTACTAATGAGCATTGTTGTGATGTCAGAAATATGAGTGGTACATTTTTTAACTGTTTCAGTGAATGAGTGAAAGTGTTTCTGCAGTCAGTGTTTCTGTCACTGACCTCATTTCAGTGCATCAAAGAGTAATTCCACAAATTCAGAGTGTTGTAAAAATTTCAGGATTTAATGAAATTTTTTGGTCATACCACGTTACTGAAGTGTTTAAACTAAAGAGTGTTCTAGTGTTTATTCATTCAAGGTTCAAAATAAAGGAAGATATTAAACCAGAGTGAAGAGTTATCATTTTTGAAGATGTGCTGTACATTTGTCATTCTTACATCTTTGCCACTGATCATTTCAGGTGTAGGAATGGAAACTCACTAAACCCTTTCCTTCCTTCTCTAAGCAATATTTTACTTTGTTGAAAGATCTAAATAAGAGTAACTGAAATTAACTTAATTAAAATGCATTTCAAAGTTTCTGCTGGCTCCAGTGTTTTTAAAATTTGTAATGGTACAAAAGATTATTTAAAGATTTAATCCTCACACAATAAACTGTAATAACACAATCTTTCCCCCCCCCCTCCCTTTTTTTTAAGGATGTGCAGATGTTTTTTTAATGTTCTACACTAAAATTTTCATATCAATTGATTACCTTATTGTAGGAAATTGTAGTTCTAAATTTCAGAATGTTGTTAATGCCTTTGTCTTCACTAAGGTGAGTCTGATTTATTTATTTTTTAGCTTTCAGGTGCTCGTGTTTTGATTTCTTAAAGCCTTGCACCCGTTTCCATAATCTTACCAGCAGATGAGCTCAGTGCATGTATTATGAGGAGTCTTTGTGTGGAGATTATTGTAAACTTTCTGGAAGCTGAGGCATTCGTGGGCTCTATAACTCATTCTACTTTCTTTGCTTTCCCTGTTTTGTATTTTGCGTTTTTGCATAGCACTGGGTGAAGCTGGTATTTGATCCCCTACAACCCAGTCAGAATTTTGGCACATTTTCTGGACTTTTATGGAGTGGTTGATATTTCTGCATTACATTATGATGTTTAAAATAAAAACAACTATGCTTTTATTTTGCATGGATTTTTATTTTCACATTAAATTCAGAAAATTTCTTCATATCAGTCTTGGGTTCAGATCAAACAGCTTCATGCTTCATACAATGATACCTAAAAATGATGCATTCAAAATAGCAGTGATCTTAATCCACCATATATTTAACTTAATTTTCAAATTTTGCTTTAAGCTGAGTGTCTGACGTTTCTAAAATGATGCTTCATTTGAGATCTGTCACATGACTAAACATCTGGTATTTGTTCATAGTGTAAATCTTAACGTGTTCCAGTCTGGTTACAAATGGTTGAGAGCAGCCAACCCACTGTTCCTCCAGCACCAGCAACACCCCCAATGCCAGCTCCCGTCAGACCTCCCATACCTACAGTGAGATTATAGACGCCATCAGCTGTTTGTTATTCATGTGTAAAGCTTTTATGCTATTCTTTTTGATGCTTCTCTGTATGATTTGCATTATATCTGTTTTATATATTTAAATATGTAAGCAATTTTCTTTGCAACATCTAAATAATATTGTTTAAATAATTTACTAATTAAATCAAAATATCAGGTTTACCCCAGGATTGCAGGGTTGCTATGAGACCTCCTGCTGCAACTCCTCCTCCATTAGAAACTGCAAAATATGACATCAGTTTGGCACCAATGGAGCCTGCTGCTATTCCAGCTGGAGTGAACCCAGTGCAGCCAGAATGGCTGGAGCCAGAGCCACAGTGCCAGCACCTCCTGAATATTATTTTACATATATATTGGAAAGATTTTCAAATAAGAAGTAACAAGAACCAACCTTAGTTACAAAACGTTTATTGTGAAATGTAAATAAAAACAGAAGACAGTGATGTGGTCCTGCCATGAAATTTAAAATGAGCTAATGTCATTTCTTGAAATAGTAAAATGTTTTAGTTGTTCAACTGTAAATAAAGTTTATGTTCATAAGACTTGCATTGCATTGTGGGTTGCGTGAAAGCGGTGAATCACGTCATCTGACAGCTTACCTCCCACTATAACGACTCCCTTGAAAGACAAAGAGTGAACAAAATCGCGCATGGAGTAAGAAATTCATTAAATTACACTGCATGAAAAATAATTAATAACATAAACAGTAAAATATGAAGGATTTACATATTTCTTCCCAGTCCATGATATGTCCACATTCAGATGATACAGAGAGTGTATCCGTAGTTATGCCCAGATATCCACAGTGCAGTGGTATATTTTGTCCAGTGCATCCCCCCCTGCCTTTTTATAATTATTGATAGAAGTTTCACTTTCATTTCTCAGTAAATGATACTAACTGCCCACACGTGACAAAATACACCACTGCACTGTGTGGGGTCACAATTTCAAGAGGTTGTGTGAGCAATTCCTCAGGTTAGAAGAAGGTTGATTTCAGCTCCCAAATTCCAATTAAAGTCAAAAACCACAAAAATCACAGGAGAAGAGCAGAGGTCTATGCCAGCTGTTTTATTCAACAGTGAAGTTCAGCAAAAAGAAGGAAAAGCAAAAGCTCCCCTAGGGTGTGTGCCGTAGGCGCATGCAGGTTGGGACCAACCCCAATGGACAGACAGCAGGGAAAAGCCCTGATGACTCTTCTGTCTCCTTCTTATGGGCCAGTAACCCCACCTCCTGCTGCTGGGTAACTTTCCACTTGTCCTCCAGCCAAAAACAGCAGAGCAGGGTCAGGTACCGACCAAGATACAGGCAGGGGCCAGTCAGGACTCTGGCTAAGGGCCGTCTGCAGAGGGGCACCCTTTGATTAACCCTTTGCTTTGCCTTATCACAGTTGGTCACATCATGGTCAAAAGTCACACATTAACATACATCAGCAAGTAGCATAATCTTATGACATTACTTCTGACTGCAGACAGGTGTTGATTTTGCTACATGCGAACAAATATCTGATGATGTTTATTGCAGATATGCAGTATACACGTCATTCAAAAAATCCACAACAACTATGCTGCTTCTGGGTAAAAATATTATCATTGTATTAGTATTTAGTTACTTGTATTTTCCTACCATACACAATAGTAGAGACATACATTTGAATAGCCCATAAAGTCCATACAAGCTCTGCATGATAACCTGTCTTTTGTTCATTTATAGTTCAGGCAAAATCACAGAAATACACCACTTAATATGTGAAAGCATAATAAATGGATGGATGGATGTCAACCCCCTGAGATCCAACCTCAGAATCACTTTCATTTCCCAAGAAACAACAGCTGACCCTCACACTTGTATATGAGGCACAGTCGAGTCTTAGGCTCCTCATCCTGTGTGAGATAATGGATTTAAGTGAGTACAGCTGCCTTTTTCACATCGTCTATAGCTACATCATATAAGCTCATGATTATAGCGTCACAGAAAATGGCTAAATTATTCCAGCTGGGCTGAGGTAAGATGTTTTTTTCTTTCTTTCCTGTGTTTCAGTGACAGCTTTAGCGATCACAGCTGGGGCAGGTAAGACACTTAACCTTACTTTGTTTTTGTTTTTTTAATCACTCAAGCTCATAGGAGAAGTCATAGTAGATATCATACATCACTGCTAAATTGCTTTGATAAAATATCCTTTATTCACAAAGTCTAAATTGTGGATGTCCCCCTTTTAATTCTTTGTGAAACAGTAAAGGTAGAAATCTTTGTGTAAATAACTTTTACAAGTTACTCAAGTCATTTAAAAGTAACAGACCATAACTGGTAAAACTGGTCCAGAAGGCTACTCAGGACCCATTTGTTTGTTGTTGTTTTTTAATCAGGATGGAGTAGACAACTAGAGGGCTTTTGAGGCAGTTAGAACAGGATGAGTTACCTTCATCATCGGCTCCATCTAGGCTCTACACTGCGTATTGGGTAAGGCCCGAAGGATGAATGACTAGACATTTAAACTAAGAGCTGATCCAGACTTCCTGTATTGGAAGTACTGGATCCTGCTGCTATTCCACTTGAAAAGAACCTCAGTTCAGCCACAACAGGAGTCAGAGCTAGTTTCCATCTGCAGTCCCCGCGGAGGTCAAAGAGACATAAAAACATGAAATGAATGAATCATGTGGTTAATAATGTCATGTGACCTCCTAGGTAAATGGTAAATGGCCTGCATTTGTATAGCGCTTTACTCAGTCCCTAAGGATCCCAAAGCATTTTACAGTCATTCACCCATACATTCACACACTGGCACACTGACAGAGGCGAGGCTGCTGGACACTGGCGCCACCAGACCCTCTGACCACCACCAGTAGGCAAACATGGGGTTAGTATCTTGCCCAAGGACATTTTGGCATGCAGCCAGGAGGCAGCCTGGGATCGAACCACCGACCTCCTGATTATTGGCTGACCTGCTCTGCCACCTGAGCTACAGCCACCCCATGCAGTATTGTATAAATACAATACTGCAATGTGGTAATTTTGGGTATACTGGGAGTGCAGAATTATTAGGCAAATGAGTATTTTGTCCACATCATCTTCTTCATGCATGTTGTCTTACTCCAAGCTGTA